TGGATGGACTTCACCTAAAATTCCTGTCAGCGTGGATGGACTTCAACTCCCAGAATTCCCCAGTCAGCATGGATGGACTTCACCTAAAATTCCTGTCAGCGTGGATGGACTTCAACTCCCAGAATTCCCCAGTCAGCATGGATGGACTTCACCTAAAATTCCTGTCAGCGTGGATGGACTTCAACTCCCAGAATTCCCCGGTCAGCATGGATGGACTTCCCCTAAAATTCCTCTCAGCATGGATGGACTTCAACTCCCAGAATTCCCCAGTCAGCATGGATGGACTTCCCCTAAAATTCCTCTCAGCATGGATGGACTTCAACTCCCAGAATTCCCCAGCCATCCAGAAACAATACCCTAAGCCAGGGGTCTTCAAATGTGGCCCTTTTATGACTTGTGGACTTCAACTCCCAGAATTCCTCAGCCAGCGTGCCTGTGACCTTCCCAGCCGGATTCCGATAAGCGAAGTCAATAGGGGAAGCCCACTTAACGACCCTGTGATTCACTTAACGACGGCAGGGATTTGCTTAACAATCGAGGGGGGAAAAGGTAAAATTGGACACGACACACTTAGCCGTTACTAAGTGTGTTGACTGCAGTGATTCACTTAACAACTGTGGCCAGACTCAACGAAACGTCTCGCTTAATAAGAAGACACGTCGGTCGTAAGTCGAGGACTCCCTGTCCTGGCTCTGCCCTGCAACACCTCCGAGTGACCGCTAGGCGGCGGCCACAGGCGAGCTTTCTCTTTCCATACGACCCGCGTTCTCTCGCCTTTCGCGAACCGCAGCGCCCCTTCCTCGGATGCACCCGTGTCTACGGGTTCGGTCCGGTGCACGTGAGTCGGATGCAGCCCGTGTGCACACGTGCACAACGCACCTCTCGAAGCGCGCGGCGGCTGGCCCAGGAAAACCGATGCAATAAGCAGAATCAGCGCATATAAAACGTGTTCGTTGCATAAGAGGTTACCGGACTCCCGAATTTTGGCCGCACGGTTTCTGCAGCAAATCCGGACGTCCGGATTTCTGCCCGTGCGCCCACCCGTCCCCCCTCCCTCCCCGGTTTTCCCTGTTTTTAAAGCGCAAGGCGTTTGGCGATGCGCCGCAGGGTGGAGCCCGGCGCCCGCGGGCGCCCGAGGTAGCCGCCCTTCCTCCCCCTCCCGCTAACTCCGCGGCTGCTGGGTCCGGCAGGCGGGGCCCCGCGGGAGTCCCACCTCGATCCGGTCGAGCAGGATTCCCGGAGGAGCAGCTACGGAGCGGAGAAGGAGACGGAAGAGAGAGCGGGAAGGTCCGGGGTTGGCGATCCTGGTGCGCAGCGCTGGCAGCAGAGGCCGCGGATCTGCAACGCTGTGAGCGAGGGGAGGGGGGGAATCCCCGGCGGGGGGAGAGGAAGGGCAATCCTGGGGGAGGGG